AGTGGAAAACAAGGGGTGTCCAGTTCTACTGTTAAAATTTATAGTCTCAATAAACAGTGGTACTGGTGCATAAAAAATAAAAGATCAAAGATCTGAATGCAAAGTCTAGAAATACAGCCACTAATATGAGAATTTAGTATATGATTGAGGTGGCTTCTCTTGAGGAAAAGATGACCTATTTTTATGGTGTTGGGACAGCTGGGAATCCATCTGGAAAAACAAAGCTGGATTGGCCTCCCCGGTGGCGCAGCGGTTGAGCGTTGGGTTGCGAAGCTGCCCGTGGCCTCTGCGGCGCCGGTTCGATCCCCGGCTGCTCCCCTGCCACCAGAGGAGGGTCCCACATGGTGCACAGACCTCTCCTGCCCCCCGCTGCTCCCCTCAGCAGTGTACTTCGGTCCTTCTGCCTGCTCTGCTCCTCGCTCTGGCTCTGGTGAATTCTCTCACCCTCCCGCGCTTCTGACTATACCCAGTGCATGTATAAACAAAACAAACAAATAAAGGGCCTCCCCAGTGGCGCAGCGGTTGAGCCTCTGGGTTGCGAAGCTGCCCGCAGCCTCTGCAGCACTGGTTCGATCCCCGGTTGCTCCCTGGCCACCAGAGGAGGGTCCCACAGGGCGTGCAGACCTCTCCTGCCGCCCACTGCTCCCCTCCTCAGTGTACTTTGGTCCTTCTGCCCGCTCTGCTGCCTGCTCCCAGTGCTTGTATAAATAAATAAATCTTAAAAAAAAAAAAAAAAAAAAAACTTAAAAATAAATAAATAAATAAATAAAAACATGCCTCTATTAAAAAAAAAAAAAACACAAAGCTGGATTCATACTGCACATTATATATTTGGATAAATACAAAAAATACAGTGAACATTTAAACATTAAGGTATTGGGCCTCCCCAGTGGCGCGGCGGTTGAGCACTGGGTTGCGAAGCTACCCGCAGCCTCTGTAGCGTCGGTTTGTTCCCTGGCTGCTCCCTGGCCACCAGAGGAGGGTCCCGCATGGCGCGCTGACCTCTCCTGCCGCCCGCTGCTCCCCTCAGCAGTGTACTTCGGTCCTTCTGCCTGCTCTGCTCCCCACTCTGGCTCAGTGAATTCTCTCACCCTCCCGCGCTTCTGACTGTACCCAGTGCTTGTATAAATAAATAAATCTTTAAATAAATAAATAAACATTAAGGTATAAAACTATAAAGGGCATACAGATACTACATATCTCCTAATGAAGAATGTAATTCTAGGGCCTCCCTGGTGGCGCAAGGGATTAAGATGCAACCTATGAAGATTCCACACCCTCTGCAGCACAAGTTTGATCCCCCGGCTGGCCAGGGAGCAACCCACATGGTGCAGCAGACCTCTCCTGACTTGCCCACTGCTTCCCGCAGCAGTATACTGCGTCAATTTGCCTGTTGTGTTCCCCACTCGGTCTCCAGTGAATCCTCTCATCCCCCACACCTCTGGCCTGTACCCCAGCTCTTGTATGCATAGATAGATATATCTTTAAATATATATATATATATATATAATTCTACCTAAATTCTGTCTCCCCTCCCTACCAACCTGAATCTCATCGTGTCTCTTAATCCAATTACCAATTCAAAAGGAACAACTGCTCCTTGTGCACAGCAGTAAAGTGAAAGGGGGAGAGAGAAGGAAGGTGAGAGAAGTAAAACCTATAAACTAAAAGAGATTTAAAAACTATAAAATAACTGTCACTTATAAGTATTATATGGACTCAAACAAATACAAGTTTAAGAAAAAGAAATGACAGGGGCCTCCCCGGTGGCGCAGCGGTTGAGAGCTGGGTTGCGAAGCTGCCCGCGGCCTCTGTGGCCTCTGCGGCGCTGGTTCGATCCCCAGCTGCTCCCCGGCCACCGGAGGAGGGTCCCACATGGCGCGCAGACCTCTCCTGCCGCCCACTGCTCCCCTCAGCAGTGTACTTCGGTCCTTCTGCCTGCTCTGTTCCCCGCTCTGGCTCTGGTGAATTCTCTCACCCTCCCGCGCTTCTGACCGTACCCAGTGCATAAACAAAACAAACAAACAAATAAATAAAACATGCCTCTATTAAAAAAAAAAAATGACAGGAGACAACTGGAAATCTGAACACTGACTAGGTAGTTTGTGATAATGATTTTTGTCATTTTTTTTGTTGGGTATAACAATTGTAAAGAAGCCAGGGTGAATTAAAAAACCCACTTTACTATAAAACTAAAGCATTTACAAATGAGATATGATGAAAAATCATGGAAAGTAAGGAAGTAAGATAGAATTGGATACAACAAATTCAACACAGTATTAAACAGAGATACAAGTAGGAAAACCACTAAAATAAAAGTCTCCCTCTTTTGAGAATCTTACAGGATTCTTTATTTGAAGAGCATATTCAAATAGTGAGTTTAGGCAGAATGTGAAGAATGTAAATAAATACAACAATAAGATATCATTTTCTATTTATCATACTATTATCCTTTGATCTAACAATTCCTCTTTTAGAAAATTCACCTCTAAATATTCCTGCATAAAAGTGTGAAATGACATCTGCCTCATTTTTTAAGTGAAAAAATAGAATCAACCTGAATGCGCTTCAGAATGACAGTGATTAACTATGTATGGTCGTACAACAGAATTCTACACAGTTAAAGACAGGAAAACAAAAACAGGAAGTTATATGCAAATATGTAAAATTCTCAAAGATATGTGAAAAAAGCAACGCACAAAAATGTGTACACAATTTTACTGATGCCGTTCATGTAAAAAAGAGGGAGAGGAATAACAGCATATTATGATTTGCTGTTAAGCATAATGCCATTGGAAAAGATGCAAAGAAAAAGTAAGTACCCAATGAAAGACAACTGGAAAGGGTCTCACTGGTGGTGCAGGGGTTAAATTCTAAGCCAAGCTATTGCTAGCCACTATGGCCTGGGTTCAATCCCTGGCTAGGGAGCTGACCCATATGGCGAAACAGACCTCTCCTGTCTTGCCCACTCTCCCCTCAGCAGTGTATTTCAGTAGATCTGCCTGTTTTGCTCTTCACTCTGTCTCTGGTGAATGCTCCCCCTACCCCGCACCTCTGGCCTACACCCCAGTTCTTCTATGCATAAACATAAAAACAAATAAATCCTTAAAAAGAAAAAAAGACAACTGGATAAGGAAACTGTGGGATATATACTCAAAGAAATAGTACTGCCTATCAAAAAACTGAATTAGTGTGTTTTGGGACAAAAAGTATGGATCTTGAGGTTATTATGCTAAATGAAATAATTCAGAAGTATAAGGCAGATACTAAGGCGTTTCACTTATTTATGGAAAATAAATAACCAAGATCGAGTACTGGCAAAATATAGCAAAAACAATTCTTAGACTTTGTGAAAAATAAACTGATTACCAGAAGGATACCAGAAGGAAGGGAAAGGAAGGAGGGAGTCAGGGTGAGGAAGAGGACAGGCATAGGTGTAGGAATACAGGGTGAGTGAAGCATATGCACAGATACAGATGGAGGTGTGAAAATGCACCCCCACCCAAGTTATATAAATATAAAAGCAACTGTTGGGCCTTCCTGGTGGCGTAAGGCATTAAGACACAACCTATGACGCCATCCACAGCCACTGCAGCACGAGTTCAATCCCTGGCCAGGGAGCAACCCACGTGGCACAGCAGACCTCTCCTGACTCGCCTGCTGCTCCCCTCAGCAGTGTATTTCAGTCAATCTGCCTGTTCTGCTCCCCACTGTCTCTGGTGAAGCCTCTCACTCCCCTCCTCACCTCTGGCCTATACCCCAGTTCTTGTATGAATAAATCAATCTTTAAAAAATATATATATAAGCAACTATTAAAAGACTTTTCCCTGTATACCACTTAATATGTATTTAAGAATTTTTTTGTGGGGGGCTTCCCTGGTGGCGCAAGGGATTAAGACGCAACCTATGAAGCCATCCGCAGCCATTGCATCACGAGTTCGATCCCTAGCCAGGGAGCTACCCACATGGGGCAGCAGACCTCTCCTCTCTTGCCCTCTGCTCCCCTCAGCAGTGTATTTTGGTCAGTCTGCCTGGTCTGTTCCCCACTCGGTCTCTGGTGAATCCTCTCATCCCCCCCACCCCACACCTCTGGCCTGTACCGTAGTTCTTGTATACATAAATGAATAAATCTTAAAAAAAAAAAAAAAGAATTTTTAAAGCGTGACTTTAGCCAGTTTTCTACTGACAGAATCTTGCAAAACTACAATATAAGGAATTACAGTATGGAACCTTTTGGGACTGACTTTTTTTTTCACTTAGTATACTAACTCTCTGGAGACTCATCCAGGTTTTTGTGTACATAAATGGCTTGATCCCTTTTATCGCTAGTAGTATTCCATGATATTACGGTACCATAGTATTCCATGATATGACTATATCTTAATAGGTGAGTTTAACCACTAACCTATTAAAGGATATCTAAGTTGATCTAATATATATAAAACTGCTATGAATATCATTTATAAGTTTTTGTTTGATGTTTGCATTTCTCTGGTCTAAATGGCCAGGAATGCAATTGCTGGTTTGCATATGTAGTTATCTAACTTCCAGATGGCCCAAATATTTTTAAAATATAATTATTTTTTTAAATAAAAGTTTACCCTTGGTTTGCAATACTTTTCACACTTCAAGTACTTTACCACATCCTTACAACCACAACCAAAATTCTAATGCATTTCACACTATCAAATTGACCCATTTTTCCCACCCTTCCTTCCTCTTCTGCCTAGTAAACACTGTATTTTTCAGTCTATATTATACCTTCTTAAATCTAAATTCCAACTTCAAAATATACTGCAATAAACAACAACAACAAAAAAGAAAACTTGGAGAACCATCTGAAAAGTATCAAAGGGGACTTTAATCTAGAGATATGAAAACATGGTGTTTCAAAAAGCAGGCTATCTTTTGATTAGTTAAAAATATGCCATTTCTCTCTAAAACAATTTTTTGGACATTAGCACCACATTTTTATAGAGTGGTGGAAATTTTCTACTTACATTTTCATTTTTCAAGATGAGTTTCAGGATTGCTTCTCTTTGTTTTAGAGCCTAAAACCAGGAAAAATGCCAGTTAGTGTTTTTAAAAAATAAGGATTAACTAGTTTTCTTAATATTTCTTCCTTCTCTTATAAACTACCTGACAATACCTATAGGAAATGACAGAATTCTGATAGAGCTCACAGGAACTAATTGGCTAATATAAGGTACAGATTCTAGACTATCATTTACAGTTGGTGTCCTATTAAATTATATATATATTTCTATTCTGAATCCCTGTGCCTAAAACATAATGTCTAGGAAATAACATATCCTTAAATTTTTTTTTTTTTTTTTTTTTTTTAAAGTGACAGTCTTTTATTTATTTATTTATTTATTTGTTTGTTTTGTTTATACAAGCACTGGGTACAGTCAGAAGCGCGGGAGGGTGAGAGAATCCACCAGAGCCAGAGCGGGGAGCAGAACAGGCAGAAGGACCGAAGTACACTGCTGAGGGGAGCAGCGGGCGGCAGGAGAGGTCTGCGCGCCATGTGGGACCCTCCTCCGGTGGCCGGGGAGCAGCCGGGGATCGAACTGGCGCCGCAGAGGCCGCGGGCAGCTTCGCAACCCAGCGCTCAACCGCTGCGCCACCGGGGAGGCCCTCCTTAAATATTTCTTGAGTGAATAAAAGAACACCTATGGCTAACGTATCTTTGCTCTATAGCTCTGCACATCTTTCCTTTCTACAAAACTTTTGCTAACTCAACACAGGCATATATTTTTGCCATTAATTAGAAGAGATGGCAATGATGCCCCTCAGTTCCTCCATTATAACATTTAACCTCCATGTTCACTATTCACTAGTTTGTATTAGTGAATTTTAATTTAGTGTTCATATTCTATTAGTTATATGCTTTCTCTGCAGTGACCCTCATAGTAGTATAACAGCAAATAGAAGAATTTCTATTCTATTAGAATAGAAATTATTCTATTAGAATTTTAGAATAATTATTCTAATTATTCTATTAGAATTTCTATTTAAATTTTACAGAATTCCTTACATATACAATAAATATAAATGCTTCTTAAAATTATTATAGCTGCTCTAATCCCTAGTCCCACAACCACTGAAATAAACTGAGCTGGGTATAATGAGTATCCAATCAAATGAGTTCAAAAACCAAATCAAACCCTGTTGTTTCTACAACTCAGGTGCATTAAGCATCAGTATTAATTTGGTATTTTTAAAAAAATTTTAACTTAGGAGTTTTGTTGTTTTTTTTTTTGTGTGGGACCCTCGCTGGTGGCCAGGGAACAAACCAGCGCTGCAGAGGCTGCGGGCCTCTGCAGCCCCGTGCTCAACTGCTACGCCACCAGGGGAGGCCCTTAACTTAGGAGTTTTAAGTTAATCACAAATCTTGACATCATACATATGCAATTAAAGTAAAAAAGTACAATTGCTAGAAAACAACAGCATACAAACATAAACTGGATTAAATGTGTTACAGCCCATTTTGATAACTCATACAAGTAATTTAATAAACTTACAAATTCAGTAAAGGCTACTTTCTGTGCTGCTTTATCCTGTTTTATTCTATTGCACATCAAAAGCCTTTGTCTTCAACTGAACAGATTCCACCAATATAATTTTCATTTTCAAAATAATCGAGGTAAACTAATTTTAAGAATGTTCTGATGTCTTGCTAACAAAAGACACTCTTGTGTGAAGCTTACAGAGTTAATCTCAACGGGGGAGCAGTTTGTGTTTCCAGGCTCATCGCCATCTATTTTCCTTGATGCCCTAATTGAATAGCCCTGGAAGTCACAATTAAATGTGGGCTTCAACACCTTCTCTGCCTTTATTCATTCTAACTGGAAAACCTTTCCTTGCCTCATTTGCCTATCAAATTCCTGTATAGCATGGCTGGATTCTGTAAATTTCACTAACTCCTCAGATAAAATATTAGTTTTTATCATCATCTCAGATTCTCACAGTTCTTTAAACATACCTTGGTGAGGTGCCTTTTATTACTATTTATTTATATTCCTGGCTACCCTGCAACACAGAATTCTTGGCGGGCAGGTGCCATGTTCCATTCACCAGAGTCTAGCAGGTGTCTGCACATATTAATACTCAGCAAATATGAGTTGTACTCAATAAATTTTATACCCTCTCACATCAAATTAAAAAATGGCTTTACTGATTTATTAGGTATATTTCTTAATAAGAGTGGTTAAATATATGTATGCCCTAATAGGAATAAACAGTTGTAGCTATAGCAAACATTTGATAAGAGTATTTTTATAGAGGATACAACCATCAATTTTAGATCACGTTTAACTGCCACAAACTGATGGGCTAAGTTGCAGAATATAAAATGGGGAAAATAATTTTTAGCCAGGGATTGTAAATGGCATTAAAACATTTATTTCAAATTTTGATAGAAATTACAATAAAATTTCCCCTGCATAGTTGTAATTATGTGCTATAGCTAAGACTGTGTAGCATATCTTCAATTACTAACCCTGACTTACTTTCTTTTTCAATCTGAAGGCAGACAAAAGTCATAAATTAAGAGTATCAGTAAGTGATAATCGTCTACTTTAAAAGTACTTCTTAACAGATAAAAATGCTTAAAGGATTGGGCCTCCCCGGTGGCGCAGGGGTTGAGCGCTGGGTTGCGAAGCTGCCCGCAGCCTCTGCAGTGCCGGTTCGATCCCCAGCTGCTCTCCTGCCACCGGAGGAGGGTCCCACATGGCGCGCAGACCTCTCCTGCTGCCCGCTGCTCCCCTCAGCAGTGTACTTCGGTCCTTCTGCCTGTTCTGCTCCCCGCTCTGGCTCTGGTGAATTCTCTCACCCTCCCGCGCTTCTGACTGTACCCAGTGCTTGTATAAATAAATAAATCTTTAAAAAAAAAAAAAAAAAAAATGCTTAAAGGATGATAGTGCTGGTTCAATACCAACCTCACCTTTTAAAGTATAGTATCCTACTACTGATCATTAATCTTGTCAGAGAAAATAGTTACAAATGCCAAGAATTAATCAAATATATTCCAGTTGTTCTTCCTGTCAGCCCTTCTGAACACAAGAATTCTTTAACACTACTTCATCCTATGCTAAACCAAAACTAAAATCTAGGTGGTTTCATAAACCTTCCATAAGTTAACTTGTACATTCCGAAGTCTTATACATTAAAGTGGCTTGGCAAACTTGAGCTAATTATATACCCTGGAAAGAAATACAACACTGATCTTAGGAAAAGAAAGAAGGAAAAAAGAGGAAGAGTCAAAGGACAAAGAAGCAAAAATGGGGATTCTTGCCCTATTCCCTCCTACCTCTCCTAAATAATAAATCCTGTTGAAAAAAATCATTCCCTTCTTGAAACTATTGGGAAAGACCTTGCAATAAGGTGAATATTTAACTGTTCATAATATCAGTCAAAACTACCTACCGGCTGGTTGATATGAAATCTCGTAGGCATTCTTCTCATGATAGCTGAGTCAAGATCCTGAGGACGATTAGTAGCTCCCATTACTATAACCTAAATATATAAAGAAAACACAAAATATTAATTTACCAATTCTACCCTTTTTTAGGTTGTTGTCACTAGGTTTAGAAGATATAGAAAATAAAGAGCCGTTTAAACTAAATCTATAAAATCTGATTTTAATGCATCATTACTTAAATCTTTAAGGATACAATTCAAAGTTAATTCTAAATAAGATCAAATGATAGCAAAGCTAATTAAAACTGATACATTTCACCAGACTTCTAATAACTAAATTATGTACTGTGTGTTACTGAAGAATTAAAAAGAACCTTTAAAAAATTTATATAGTTACTCAGTTTGTTAGAACCAAAAGCTACTTATATTACAGTCTAAGAGTATAAATGGGGGGGGGGCAGACACAGGACACTTCAAATCCTCCAATAATATTATTATTAAGGAAAGAATCATTTCCTCAAGTCTGAGGATTCTGGTAATATTAGTAGATATCACATACTTTTCCCTCTAGATTTCACATCATCATCTTCTCAAGGCACTAGCATCACTTCAGGTGATGTTTTCTCAGTGCTAATAAACCTCAAGCAATCAAACTTTAAACACAGGGAACAGAATAAAAGCAACATCCAAATGCTAACTGGAATAAGAAAAAGAAAAGGAAAACAAAATGCTGGGGACCCTGCCAACATCTGGGTCTCTCTTTTATTGATGAAGAATGAAGACAAGAAAAGTCAATGAGTAATGGCAAAAAAACACAAAACAGGTTTGTTTCTGAGGGGTTCAGTATTACCATTATTGTATAACCCAGTAACAGAACACATCACTGTCCAAAATGAAATTTAATGGTACTCTACTGGAAACATTTACTTTAATATTACTTTATTTCCACCTAAGAAGTCTTAGATTTCTGAAATAATCTGAACTCTGACTCCAGAATATGTTGAGAAACCCACTACATTTTATTTTCCACTTCAAATTCTCTATATTTAATGATATGTATGGGTGAAATTATTTTCAATTTACTGTGAGAGGTTGCCACCTTGAGGGAACAAATGTAAATACAAATGTAAATTTGAGAAATGTTATTTGGGTTGAATGGTCCTAATTTCTAAATATTAATATCCTTAACCTATTTTTCTTTATTGATTTTCTATGATGGTATAAAGTCAATAAAAAAATTTTCTACCAAAAGAAAGTGTTAATAGTGATCAATGAACTAATAGCAAAAGATAAAGGCTCAATATAAGGAAGTATATTTTGAGATAGATATTAAGGATATTTAGATATTCAGAAAAAGAAGACTTGACTGAAACAACTTGTAGTTTCACCTGAAGCAAATTTTAATGAATGATTTGAAAGGGCAACACATAACATTTATACATACGTCAATTCTAACACAAATGAACTAAAATTCAAAGTGGGAAGCAAGTGTAATTTTTAATATTTAGCAGTAAGATTAATGTTCTTTTTAGATATTAAATTGTTTAAAAATATGAAAATAAATTTTAAAAAATAAAATAAATAATAAATAATAAAAGTAATTAATAATAAAAAATTGTTTAAAAATATGAAGCTGAATTGTTTTAAACAATTATGCATTTAAAAGTCAGATATAAATTTATACATCAAAGCTCTAATTATATCTATGAATAGCCTAAAAATTATACTCATGTCCCTCAAGAGCAGGAAACTGTCCATCAATTAAATTTCCAGTAGTGGTGATATTTTTAATTAGGTCATTCAACTACTGTTTCCTTTGCAGCTGTATCATAACATATAACATACAAGAAAGCTAGCTGGGCAGTGGATTCCATCCTCAGTTACACAACACACAATTTTAGAGAAAAACTAGTTCATGTTGAAGAATATATCTAACATTGTTAAAAAAAACAGAAGATGCAAAGAAATGGAAAAATATTCCCTGCTCATGGGTTGGAAGAATCAATACTGTCGAAATGGCCATCTCACCTATAAGGACAGTCAATATATGACAAAGGGGACAAGAACATACACTGGAACAAGTGTATGGAAGAAGGCAACACTGGAACAGGAAAGCTTGTTCAATAAATAGGATTGGGAAAGCTACAGAGCCACACACAAAAGAATGAAACTAGATCAATATCTCACATCATAAACAGAAATCAATTTAAAAACAGGAAACTTTCATCTAAGAGCTAAAACCATAAAACATATAAAAGCAAACACAGGCAAAATACTTGATAGAAGCTTCAGTTGGGGCCTCCCTGGTGGTGCAAGGGGTTAAGTGTCAGCACTATGAAGCTATCCTATCCGTAGCCACTGAGCCAGGGAGGTGACCCACATGGCGTAACAGACCTCTCCCTGTCTCACCTGCTGTTCCCCTCAGCAGTGTATTTCAGTAGATCCACCTGTTCTGATCCCCACTTTGTTTCTGGTGAGTTCTCTCACCCCTACCCACTGCACCTCCAGCCTGCACCCCAGCTCTTGTATATATAAATAATAAATCTTTAGATGCTTCAGTTAAGGCCTTAGGGATTTATCTCCAACTGTCAGGAAAATAAAATAGAATATAAACAACTGGAACTATATTAAACTAAATAAAAAGCTTCTGCACAGTAACAGAAACTATTCCTAAAAGGAAAAGACACCCTATTAGATGGGAGAAAATATTCACATACCACACATCTAACAAGGGACTGATATCAAACATCCATAAAGAACTCACATGACTCAACAACAAAAATAAGCCAATCAAATAAAGAACAGACACTATTCAAAAGACATACAAAAGGCCAACAGAAACATGAAAAAAATGTTCATCTTTACTTATTATCAGGGAAATAAAAATCAAGACTAACAATGACATACCAACTCACACCTGTGAGAACAGTCATATCAAAAAGAAGAGAAACAACAAGTGTTCATAAGGGTATAGAGAAAAGGGAATCCTTCTGTTCTTTGGTGGGAATGCAGACTGGTCTAATCCTTAAGGAAAGTTGAATGGAAGTGTCTCAAAAGATTAAACGGATATGCCATATGACCCAGTAATTCCACTCCTCAGCATCTACTTGAAAAATTCAAAAATACTAATTTAAAAGGAAATTTGCACTTCTATGTTTGTTACAATAAACAAACTATAGAAACAATTTAAGTGTCCAAAAACAGATGAGCGGATAGAGATGTGGTATACATATACATTGGAATATTATTCAGGGATCAAAAATAGATAAACTCATTCCACTTGTGACAATATGGATGGAGCTGGAAAGGATAATGCTAAGTAAAATAAGTTAGAAGGCGAAAGATAAATGTCAGATGGTGTCACTTGTATGTGGAATACAGAGAAACCAAACAAAGGATCAGATGAATACAAGCTTAAAAACTAACCCTTGAAAGCTGACCATAGAACTGAAGCATCAGAGAAGAAAGGTTTCCAACATGTACCCCATCTTGTAAAATCTGTGCTTGTCTGTGTGGTACGTGGTCAACTTCTACCATTACTTACCGCCCTTATGCATAGGTTTCACTGTGGAAGTCAGCTTAATTTCTTTACTTTTTTGCAGATTTGCAAAAAACTTAATCTTTTTTAAAAGCCAAGAAAACAGACAGTTGAATGAGTTTTCAGAACCATTATTCCTAGTAGTATTTATTTTCATTTGACAGATAATTGAAGGAGCAAGCAAAGACAATGCTTTTTTTCTTTAATTAAATGTTGGTAATGGTTTTTTAAACTTTTTTGTTTGTTCAGGGAGTTAAAATTTATGATATTGATTTGAATAATAATTTTAGACATTCTTTTTTAAGGACTTTTAAAAATTAATTTTCTAAATTGAGGTAACATTGGCTTACATTATTGTTGGTATTTTGGAAAAATATAATCTCCCCCAATACTCTATATCACCATAGTAGTGCACCCACCACCACCAAATCATCTAGAGTCCAGGGAGGTTACCCACATGGCACCGCAGACTCTCCTGACTTGCCTAATACTCCCCTTAGCAGTGTACTTCAGTCAATCTGCCTGTTCTGTTCCCCACTGTCTCTGGTGAATCCTCTCAGCCCCCGCACCTCTGGCCTGCACCCCAGCTCTTGTATGCATTTTTTAAAGATTTATTTATTTATACAAGAACCGGGGTACAGGCCAGATGCATTAAGAGGATTCACCAGAGTGGGGAACAGAATAGGCAGACTGACGAAATACACTGCTGAAGGGAGCAGCGGGTGAGTCAGGAGAGGTCTGCCATGCCATGTGGGATTCTCACCGGCTGGCCGGGATGGAATCTGCGCTGCAGAGGCTGCGGACAGCTTCACGGTGTGGCGCTCAACCAGGGAGGCCAATAAATAAATAAATCTTAAAAAAAAAAAAAGAAACATATACAGAAAAACCACAGCCAATAGTGATACTTCCTTTTCCTCACCATAATGGTCCTAAGAACTCCAAGGAGGGGCTCTACCCTGATTTTCTCTCTTCTGTTCAATTTGTTTCAGACATTTAGGTAAATCCATAAACTCAGATCCTGATCACTTAAGTAAAAATAATCATGAAAAAAAGAGTTTGTAAAAAGCTTAACTAGTCCAACAATTGTTTTATGAACAGCACAAGGCAGATTTCTTTCAAATACCTGGCAGCTGTGATCAGTATCCAGTCCATCCCAGAGACTCATAAACTGAGCTTTCATCATAGCTGTAGCTTCATGGTCAGAACTTGAACGGTTTCGTAGAAAGGAGTCTAGAAGGAAAAAGTCCTTAAAATTAGAAACTAACAATTTGCTCACCATAAGATTTTAAATCATTTAATCAAAAGCTCATAACTTCATGAAAGAGTACAAGTAAAAGAGTTTGACTACAATTTCAGCAAATTAAAACACAATTCATAATCTTCCTTTCTCGCCTAAAAATACAGTCATGCCAACATGTACAAAAAAAAGTAAAATATCTGGTACTGAAAGAGGTAACATTGGAAAATTTCAAAATACCATTAAATGAGAAAATGTCGAACAGACAATGGTTTAAAATACACCTCCTAGCGCATGTGCATAAAATACATGGTAAAAAAGCCTTTTAGGAAATATCCTGAAATGCTAGTAACTTTAGCTATCTATATGATACTTAGAATCATTTATCTTATAAATTGTCTATAATGAAGACAAATTACTTTTGAAACGGGGGAAAACATTTTCTAAATTACAATGAACAAATACTTTTTTATTTTTTTTTTAAAAAAATTATTTATTTATTATACAAGCACTGGGTACAGTCAGAAGCGCGGGGAGGGTGAGAGAATTCACCAGAGCCAGAGCGGAGAGCAGAGCAGGCAGAAGGCCCGAAGTACACTGCTGAGGGGAGCAGGAGGTGGCAGGAGAGGTCTGCGCGCCATGTGGGACCCTCCTCCAGTGGCCGGGGAGCAGCTGGGGATTGAACTGACATTGCAGAGGCTGCGGGCAGTTTCGCAACCCAGTGCTCATCCGCTGCGCCACTGGGGAGGCCCAAATACTTTTTTAAATGGGGAAAAAAAATTTTTCTAGAATGAAAAGATTGAAAGGCAGTACATCCAAGAATGAAAAAAAGGTAACAAAAATAAATCCTAGATTCTGGGCAACCCCTATTTCAGATGTTTTGTCTTTTATCCCTTCATTGAAATTTCTGAGTAATTTCCACTTTCAGCATTAAAACTACAACTTGAAGTCTATCACATATATAAAAGTGGCACCAAAATGCTACATAATGTGGGCCTTCCCTGGTGGCGCAGCAGTTGAGCACTGGGTTGTTAGGCTGCCCACAGCCTCTGCAGCGCTGGTTCAATCCCCGGCCACCAGCGAGGGTCCCACCAAAAAAAAAAAAAAAAAAAAAAAGCTACATAATGTGCTAGGTGCCAAGATTTAAAAAAAAAAAAAGTTAATGTGATTACAAACAACACATTACATGACAAGAGAGATCCTTTGATGGCAAACATATATCCTGGATTTTCACGCTTGGGGTCTAAACGTATACCGTATTCATACAGTAAAATCCAAGCCAAGAAATTATCATAAAAATTAGTACTAAGTAATTAGACCCCAGAAGTTCTAAGTGGAAGAGAGAAAAACTACTCTGGATCTTCTTATCTAATACAAGTTCTCTAATAAAACAAGCCATAAGTCATCTAATGTCAGAGAGACACAGAAATAAAACACTGTAAAAGGAAATTAACAATCAACAGAACAGTAAAACAAACCATATAAAAAGTTTATTTAAATACAAAAACACAAAAGGGATAGAAATTTTATTTTATTTTATTTTTTTAAAGATTTTTTTTTTATAGAGGCATGTTTTATTTATTTATTTGTTTGTTTGTTTTGTTTATACAAGCACTGGGTACAGTCAGAAGCGCGGGAGGGTGAGAGGATTCACCAGAGCCAGAGCGGGGAGCAGAGCAGGCAGAAGGACCGAAATACACTGCTGAGGGGAGCAGCGGGCGGCAGGAGAGGTCTGCGAGCCATGTGGGACCCTCCTCCGGTGTCCGGGGAGCAGCCGGGGATTGAACGCGCTGCAGAGGCTGCGGGCAGCGTCGCAACCCAGCGCTCAACCGCTGCGCCATCGGGGAGGCCCGGGATAGAAATTTTAACAAAAGAGCATGCTACAGTAAAAAAATTTTGAAAAAGAAACAGAGAAGGTCTAAAGTTCAAATACAGTGAACAGAATACAACCCAAAGATTGTGATATTAAATAATCAAGCAGAGTTGCTTTTTTTTTTTTTAAAAGATTTTATTTTATTTTATTTATTTATACAAGCACTGGGTATAGTCAGAAGCGCGGGCGGGTAAGAGAATTCACCAGAGCCAAGAGAGTAGAACAGGCAGACTGACGAAGTACACTGCTGAGGGGAACAGCGGGCAGCAGAACAGGTCTGCGTGCCATGTGGGACCCTCGCCTGATGGCCAGGGATCGAACCGGGGTTGCAGAAGCTGCGGGCAGCTTCGCAACTCAGTGCTCAACCACTGCGCCACTGGGGAGGCCAGGAGTTGCTTTTTATAACTTACTTAGACACTGATGTACCAAAAAAATTAAAGCTGCCAATTAAATGATACTAAAAGAAAAAAACTTTGCCAATTAAATAATATGCTATCCCAATTTCACTGTTTTGTACAAAACAGTGCATTACAGAACTGATGAGCTATGATAAAGAATTAGGTGATAAAAATGTGAAAAAGACTGACAATTAAGTAGGAAGTTGAAGAATGTTTTTAAAAAATGGAAGCCTTGGGGCCTCCCCGGTGGCGCAGCGGTTGAGTACCGCGCTGCGAAGCTGTCCGCAGCCTCTGCAGCGCTGGTTCGATTCCCTGCCAGCCAGGGAGAACCCCACATGGCACAGCAGACCTCTCCTGACTTACCCACTGCTCCCCTCAGCAGTGTCTTCGCTCTGCCTGTTCTGCTCCCCGCTCTGGCTCTGGTGAATTCTCTCACCCTCCCACGCTTCTGACTGTACCCAGTGCTTGTATAAATAAATAAATCTTTTTAAAAAAAAAAAATGAAGCCTTACATTTAAAGATATATAGTGTGGGGCCTCCCTGGTGGCACAGGGGTTAAGACGTAACCTATGAAGGTATCTGTAGTCACTGCAGCACAGGTTTGATTCCCAGCCAGGGAGCTACCCACATGGCACAGAAGACCTCTCCTGTCTCACCCACTGCTCCCCTCAGCAGTGTATTTCAGTCAATCAGCCTGTCCTAACCCCTGCTCTGTCTCTGGTGAATCCTTTCACACCCCCACACCTCTAGCCTATACTCCAGTTCTTGTCTGCATAAATTAATAAATCTTTGGTTCTCCCCTGGTGGCGCAGCGGTTGAGCGCTGGGCTGCAAAGCTGCCCACAGCCTCTGCAGTGCCGGACTGATCCCCGGCCACTGGCGAGGGTCCCACATGGCACACAGACCTCTCCTGCTATGGCCGCCGCTCCCCTCAGCGGTGTATTAAATCAGTCTGCCTGTTCTGTTCCCCGCTCTGGTGAATTCTCTCACCTTCCCGTGCTTCTGACTGTGCCCAGTGCTTATATGGATAAATAAACAAATCTTTAAAAAAAAAAAAAAATTAATAAATCTTTTAAAATATATATATGTATATATAGGGGCTAAGAAATTTTCCAGAATTAATAAAAGCCAAATTCTCAGATTGAAAACCACAGCCCATCTTAGCAGAATAAATAATACAGACCTCAAACAAACATAATCATAAACAACAAGATAAAAACCTGTAGCTAGAGAGAAAAAATAAATTACAAAGAAATATTAAACTGTAAGAGTTCTTAGAAGCAACAACAACAAAAAAAATACGGGAAAGACAAGGGAATTGTAGCTTCAAAATGCTGAGGAAAATAAAGCAGTATCATTTAAGAGTGAAGGTAGGATTAACGCTATCAGCACACAAAGACAGAATTCACCATAATCATGATCTTTTTCAAAGAACTTTGAAAGATTTCAATAAGGATAGTAAATCCAGAAAAAGCAGGGTACAAGAAGGAACAGTGAGGAAAAAAAATATGGCAAACATGGGCCAAGAATATCAATCTTCCATGACTTACAATGGGGGAAATTTCCCAATAAACCCACTGTAAATTGAAAATAATCATGTTCAAAATTTTATTTAATACACCTATCTACCAAATATCATACCTTAAATGAGTCCAAAAAGGTTACTCTGGCTTATTGTTGGGAAAATCATCTAACACAAAGGCTATTTTATAACAGCACTGATAGCTCATGTCATTCAAAATTCAAAATTCAAAGTACAGTTACTACAGAATATGTATTGCTTCCACAGCACAGTTAAGTCGAAAAATCGTAAACTGAACCATCGCAAGTTGAGGATAATCTAAAGCTGTCACAGAAAACAGGAATAAAGAAAAAAAAAGTATACAAGATCGACTAAGAAGCACAGAGTAATGTGATAGAAATAAATCCAAATATATGTTATCAAAACGAAAGCCAACTAACTACACTTCCTGGTTAAAAATTTAAACATTTCAAAGTCCAGTTCTATGTTCTTGAGTGCAAGATGCACATAAAAAAGCCCCAAAATAGAGTAAGTGAATGAGAAAGGTGAATAAGTAACCGAAGTAATACATATCCATACCTATTTTTGAATGTTTCTATCCAGTCTATAACATTTCATAAGTACAATAGCATAACTAATTCAAATCTATAATTTTAATTATAATTTTATTAACTATGAACTTTATGCACTAGGAGCAGAACAAAATATTGATCTGCACAAAAACAGAGTCCACTAATATACAAGTTGTGATTTAGGGGGAAAAGATATGCTTTGGAAAAGGATGAAATAACAGTCCCTCCAAATGCTACAAATTTTTAAAAGGACATGAAGGTAGTGCAGGGATTTGTAAAACAGACACAAAAGTATAAATCAAAAAGGAATGGTAACTGTAACTATATTTAAATTTAAATCTCTATAATAAAAACTACCATAAAGTGAAAAGACAAGCCAGTCTAGAAAATATTTGAAGCAATAAAAAACATCAACAAGGTAATACTAAGAAAAATGCAAATAACCCCAAGAAAAACTGGCAGTTTCAAGCAGAAAACACAAAAGACTAATCAACAAATTAAATGATGCCAGGTTTACTAGAAAGCAATGAAACACAAAATAAATTAATGATGAGATACACTTTAAGTTGGCCACAAATTAAAGATAATATTTGAAAAAATCAATTTTAGGGAGTATGTAGGAAAACTACACAGCTGAGAGAGTGAAAACAGGTTTAACCACTCTGAAGAACTAAAAGTCTTAGGCTGAACATGGAAACATCACATAGTCAAATGGTTCAACTTCTAGGTATCTATCCTGGACAAGCATGTATAAAGAACCATGTACACTGATGCACAGTACTTGCTGTTTGTAATAGGGAAAACAAAAAATTACCAAGCAAGGGAATGGACACACTATGGTTTGTTCCATAGCACAGAAATCACATGTAACATATTAGGATGATGATTACCAATTTTCTCTTTTATTAATTTGGCCTAGTAAATGTTAAAAACTAAATTTAGTCATCTAAATACCACCCTTTAAAATGGCATTTTATAATGCTCAAGTAGAAAACACAGCTTACCTATTTCATCTATAAAGATGATGGAAGGCTGCAGCTTTATGGCAAGGGAGAAAACCGCAGCAGCCAACTTTTGAGATTCTCCATACCACTTATCAGTCAGTGTGGACGGCTGAAGGTTAATAAATCGACAACCTGCTTCTTTGGCTGTAGCCTTGGCAATCAAGGTTTTACCACAGCCTGGAGGTCCATAGAGAAGAACACCTAGAAATTAACAGGTTATTTCGTTATTTCCTTAAAGAGAATGTGACATGTGGGGCCTCCCTAGTGATGCAAAGGGTTAAGATGCAACATATGAAGCTGTCAGCAGTCTTGGCAGCACAAGTTTGATCCCGGGCTGGCCAAGGGAGCAGCCCACAAGGCACAGCAGACCTCTCCTGGCTTGCCAGCTGCTCCCCTCAGCAGTGTACTTCAGTCAACGTGCCTGTTCTGTTCCCCACTCTGTCTCTGGTGAATCCTCTCACCCCCCCAAACCTCTGGCCTGTACCCCAGCTTTTGTATGCATAAATAAATCTTAAAAAAAAAAAAAGAGAATGAAAAGACATTGTGCTTAAAGTTCACGTTATAATCAACATACCAATTCTGCCCACACTAACCACTCTAATTTAGCTTCCTGTTTTCACTAGTTTTTTTTTGATAGCAGAAGATGAAAGTGACATATCTAAGTTCAGAGTATTTGGAAATGTGGTGCACTCTTTGTCCCTTGCCTTCATGAAAAGGTTCAGTTCAGGATACTAAATCCTATCATCTTGACATCCAAATTCACACCACTCTTGCAGACAAAATCACTTCCACTTCCACTAGCTAGGAGAGCACTACAGCACTTCAACAATGGTTTAGAGAAAACTGACAATTTCAAAATAGATTGCAGAAAATGCCGTTTCATTATTGCTCAATTTATGTTTTAGATAAAAAGATCTGTGCCTTTTTCCAAACAGATAATGATCTCTTCTTAAAATGAACATAAACTGTCACTCCTATCTTTATTCCCAAATAAAGCTGTATTATTAACTTATATGTTGCCTTGATAGCAGTTTGCTGCTAAATTCAATTTAAGTCAATTATTTTAATATAAAAAGGATCTAAACAACTAGTGTCTTGAATATGGAATCATCACCAACTATTTTCAACTAAAACAAGGCCTTCCCTGGTGGTGCAGGGGTTAAAGTCTCAGTGCTATGATGAATTCGATCCCCTGTCAGGGAGCTAACCCACATGGGGCAGCAGACCTCTCCTGTCTTGCCCACTGCTCCCCTCAGCAGCGTATTTCAGTAGATCTGCCTGTTCTCTTCCCCACACATCTCTGGTGAATCTTCTCACCTCCAGCAACTCTGGCTTAGACCCCGGATTATATGTGTGTAAAAAATGAAATAAACACTTAAAAAATAAAAAAAATTTAAAAATTCATAAGTTGGAGGGCCTCCCCTGGTGGTGCAGTGGTTGAGCGCTGGGCTGCGAAGCTGCCCGCAGTCTCTGCAGTGCCAGTTCGATCCCCCACCACTGGCTAGGGTCCCAAAGGTGCACAGACATCTCCTGCCGCCCGCTGCTCCCCTCAGCAGTGTATTTCGTCAGTCTATATGTTCTGCTCCCCACTCTGGCTCTGGTGAATTCTCTCACCCTCCCGCGCTTCTGACTGTACCCAGTGCTTATATAAATAAATAAACAAACAAACAAACAAACAAACAAATAAACGGATGGATGGATGGATGAAAGAATGAATGAATGAATGAATGAATGAATAAATAAATAAATATTCATGTGGCATGTGGGGAACAAATTGAGAATATTTGGAGACATTTAAAACATTATGTATGTTTATAGCAGCACTACTTACAATAGCTAAGCTTCGGAAACAACCCAAATGCACAAAAATAGATGAGTGGATCAAGAAGATGTGGTACATATACACCATGGAATATTACTCAGCATTCAAATAAGATAAACATATGCAATTTGCAGCAACATGGATGGAGCTGGAAGGGATCATGCTCAGTGAAATAAGCCAGAAAGAAAAGGAAAAATACCGGATGGTCTCACTTATAGCAGAAATCTAGAAAACTTAAATAAGAGACCAGGAAAAAGAATAACTATAAGAAAGAAAATATCAAAATCAACAAACAACTATGAACCAGAGACACTCTATGGGGGGTGGGGAAAGGAGGGGTTGGGGTCAAAATAAGGGGGTTGTAATTGTATGGGGAATATAAAAATAAAATTTAAATTAAAAAATAAATTTAAAAAAATAAAATAAAACATGTAATAAAAATGAAGTACAAAATATGAGGGAAGAAAAAGATAATAATAAAACCACCATTTTTTTAAATTTTATTTTTATATTCCCCATACAATTGCAACCTCCTTATTTTGACCCCCATCCCGCCTTTCCCCACCCCCCCATAGTGTGTCTCTGGTTCTTAGTTGTTTTTTGATATTTTCTTTCTTATAGTTATTGTTTTTCTTAGTCCCTTATAAAACCCTCAACTTTTAAAATTTATTATTCTTTATTTTTTTTTGGCAGAAGAAGAACTGGGTATAGATCAGAGGCATGGGGGGTGGGTGGCGGTGAGAAGATTCGCCAGAAGCAGAGTGAAGAGCAGAACAGGCACATTTACTGAAATACACTGCTAAGGGGAGGAGCTATCGAGACAGGAGAGGTCTGCTGTGCCATGTGGATTAGCTCCTTGGCCAGGGATCGATCTCAGGCACTAGCGGTGATAGTGCTGACACTTAGCCCCTAGGCCATGAGGGAGGACCTATTCCCCAAATTTCTTTTACAAAAAGAGAAACCTAAGCTTGATACCACAAATCTAACTTTTTCTTAAATATCAAGCACTTTAAAATAAAGCAAACTTTTCCTTAAGTACAAATAGGTTTTTTGAGAGGTCTCAATAATTATTTAAGACTCAGCCAAACTTAATCTCTTTAAACTTTTCTAAAGCTGATTTTAAAATTTAAATTCATAAACTTTTCAGTAAAATCAACATTGACGAGTAGTGTCTTCACATTTTTTGTTTAAAGATTTACTTATTTATGCATACAAGAACTGGGGTACAGGCCAGAGGTGCGGAGGGTGAGAGAATTCACCAGAGACAGAGTGGGAAACAGAATAGGCAGACTGACTGAATTACACTGCTGAGAGGAGCAGGGGGTGAGACAGGAGAGGTCTGCTGTGCCATGTGGGTAGCTCCCTGGCCGGCTAGGGATCGAACTTGCACTGCAGAGGCTTCGGATAGCTTCACAGTGCTGCACTTAACCCTTTGTGTCGCCAGGGAGGCCCTGTCTTTGCAATTTTTAAGAGAAACTCATTTAAGTAGTAAAAATTTACTTGAATCACTTATAATTTGAAACCTCTATTGACACTTTCCTTTTGGATGGCTGATGTGAATTATAGAAAAAAAAAAATCAATGCCATTTAATTCAAATAACTGAAAGCAGGATGACTACAGACACCTGGAATTGTAATTACACTTATCATTTTGATCATATAACATGGGGGCACTCTCTGGTGGCATAGGGGTTAAAGTCTTAGCCCTATCAAGCTATTTCCAGCCACTGTGGTATGAGTTCCAACCCAGAAGGAAGCTAACCCACATGGCCCAGCAGACCTCTGTGGTCTCGCCTGCTGCTGCCTCCTCTGCTCCCCACTGTCTCTGTTGAATCCCCCCTGCACCTCTGGCCTACACCCCAGTTTTTGTATGCATAAATAAAAATGAATTTTTAATAATTTAACATGGAATGCAGATTAGCCACATGTACACACACTCACACACATCCTGACTCTCAGGGTTTTAGAACTACTGATGTACAAATCTTTATGTACTGTTCACTTTTTGCAGGTTGGCTTAGGTAGTACTTTTAGTGTGTTATATTTGTTTCAAGGCACACAAAGAAAAGATTTAACACCTTTTCTTTTTATTCTTTTAGAATGGACTCTACAATATAAGTATTTAAGGAGAGTGATAAGTGAGTGGTTTCGCAAATGAACACGGGACATTTGACTTTATCAGTTCTGCAACCTTTAAACTATAAACTACATAAATAGTTTTTTGAGCTTAGTCTAATACTTTTATAACCATTTACAACCAAATAAAAGTAGTTTATTATTTTGTGCTTTGTAAAGGCTTAAAAATTCAAAGCTATTTTTTTTTAAAAAACATTTGTGCTTTATTTATTTATTTTAATTTATACAAGCACTGGGTACAGTCAGAAGCACGGGAGGGTTAGAGAATTCACCAGAGCCAGGGCAGGGAGCAGAGCAGGCAGAAGGACCGAAGTACACTGCTGAGGGGAGCAGCGGGAGGCAGGAGAGGTCTGCGCGCCATGTGGGACCCTCCTCCGGTCGCCGGGGAGCAGCCAGGGATCGAACCGGCGCTGCAGAGGCTGCGGGCAGCTTTGCAACCCAGCGCTCAACCGCTGCGCCACCGGGGAGGCCTCAAAGCTATTTTTAAGAATGTTTTGAACAAGGATTTTATTTCATAAATACTGCTATTCAAGGGGGGGAAATGTAGAAGTCTTAGTAGCTTCTACAAAATCTATTTTCTGTAGGTTATCTACATTTTTTAGGATGCATCAAAACAAGGAATATGATGAAATTCACAAACATAAAACTTGTGTGCCAAAATAGTGATTACTGAATTCAGCTGAAATTTTTTAAATATTGGAAGGAATGGATTTCTCTTTTTTTAAGTTATTTATTTATGCATATAAGAACTGGGGTACAGGCCACAGGGGCAGGGAGGATAAGAGGATTCACCAGAGATAGAGTGGGGAGCAGAACAGAAATACACTGAAATACACTGTTGAGGAGAGCAGCAGGTGAGATAGGAGAAGTCTGCTGCGCCATGAGGGTAGCTCCCTGGTTGGCAGGTGATTGAACCCCTGCTGCAGAGGTTGTAGATAGCTTCATAGTGCTGTGCTTAACCCCTTGTGCCATGAGGGTTGCCCCTCAATGGTTTTAAATTTTTTTTAAACTTGAAGTAACACTGGCTTAAAGCATTATATGAGTTTCAGTTGTACAGACATATCAATATTTGCATATACTATTATATGCTCATCACCACAAGTCTAGTTTCCACCTACTGATTTTTAATGAATCAGCAAATAAAACTTTTGTCATACCTTTTGGAGGCTGCAGAAGCCTGGAATTTTCAAACAAGTGTTTCTTTTTAATAGGTAAGATAACTGTGTCTTTCAGATCTGTAATGACATCATCCAAACCTGCTATATCACTCCAAGTAACCTGGTAAAGGCAAATGTCACCAGAATGAATTTTACAACAAATGTCTACCCACTAAAATAAAAGAAAAAATTCCACCACATGGCTAACTTTAATCTTATAATTACACATAAGTAAAAGCTTAAAATGACGTATTAAAGTGAGTACAGACTTTAGACAGCAACATTGAAATTATTCAATTGTTAGGAAACTGCAAGAAAGGAATTTAATAATCAACTACCTACTACTTTTAATCAAGCACTAGCTCTATCACTCAAAACTGTAGGAATCTAAAATGCTGAATTCACTCCATTTAAGAAGAAATACTCTGCCAAGAAGATTGATAACCAGCTCAAACAGATAATTTGCCACTGAAGGATGAGGAAATGCTTACGAGGAATGTGCCAAAATCACGTATGATGCTAGGAAAGAATTTTAGAAATAAAGTCTATACCCAGTCAAGCTTATTAGCCAAAAGTAAAATCGACAAAACTGTGTTCTTATAAATTGTAAACAGGAGATAAGCAATCTCAAAAGAGAAAACTTGTGTATTTTAAAGCCTTCTAATGAAACTTTTTTGGAAAAATAAACTAAAAACAAAATCTAGATCTAATCTAACAGAACAAAGGGTCTGATCATGGGGCTTGTGAGAGCATGATTTACAGGAGATTTATCTTCTTTACGACTTAAAAAAAGGTGAAAAATTGCAACCAAATCTGAAAAAACATTACCTTTCACTGTAGCTATGACAAAAAAATGGAGCTTGTTAGTACAGGCATACTCAGAGGTAATACGGTAGGATCACAAGTAAGCACTACTGTAAATTTATAAATGGAATTCAAATGGGGACATGTATGCGGGATATGTATGTTTCTGTACTCACAGATGTTAATGGACATTGTAGACTTTTATTTTCTAGATTTGAAGATGACATCCTATTTTATTCTACTTATTTATACCAGCTCCTACAAAATTTATCTATACCTGATACATTTACATAGGATTTTACAGTTTATAAATTACTTTACTCTGATCCTCAAAATAACAGGAAGAGCAGGTATAGCACATTATTTCTGGAAAATACATGAGGGAACTGAGACTCAAAAAGAAAATAACTTGGCAAGGCTCTTAATGAAAAAAACTGGGATTCATGATCTTATATTGTCTACCATATCTTACCACAAAAATCTAAATTGAAACTCCAAATCAAATGTCCACACAACTTAAAGCAGTACAGGCATAGCTTACTTTATTGCCCTTTGCAGATACTGAGTTTTTTACAAAACCTTTAGCAAGTAATTTTTTTTAGCAAGTCACTAAAAGCTTTGTTAATAGCATTTTTTAGCAATAAAATTCTTTAAAATTAGGTATGTACATTGCTTCTTTAGATATAATGCTACTGCACACTTAAGAGACTATAAATTACAATGCAAAAATAACTTCAATGAAGAGAAAACCAAAAATCTCATGTGACTCACTTCATTCCAATACTCAAATTAATTTTGGTGGTCTGGACCAAACCTGCAACATCTCCAAGATGTGCCTGTGCATTTTATATACCACAAAGGTGAACACAGAAAAGCACAAGTATGCACAAAAAAAGGGTAACACAGCAGCCTGAAACTGTTATCCTTAGAAAGGGCTACTTGTAGGGCCTCCCCGGTGGCGCAGCAGTTGAGCGCTGGGCTGCGAAGCTGCCCGCAGACTCTGCAGCGACGGCCGCCAGGCTACGGTCCCACTTGGCGTGCAGACCTCTCCTGCCGCCTGCTGCTCCCCCCAGCAGTGTACTTTGTCAGTCTGCCTGCTCTGTTCTCCCCTCTGGTTCTGGTGAATTCTCCCACCCTCCTGCGCTTCTGACTGTACCCAGTGCTTGTATAAATAAATAAATAAATCTTAAAAAAAAAAAGGGGGGGGGGCTGCTTGTAAAGTTGGCCCTTGGCTGAAAAAAGGATACTTAGATTTTGGAAGAGTTCTCACCATGGTGGGTAAGAACAGCCCACTGTCCCTTAACTGTAAAACAACATAGTTCATGCTAGGTACCTGTTTCCTTCTGGTAGTCTAGAATGGTAAATGTTAGAAATACAGAGTTTCTATAATCAGGGCATTATGTTTCTTGTAAGCTTCCCTAGTGGATAGCACTTTACATGGGTTATCAAAATTTGTTGCCTCAGGAACTAAGCACATCCTACGTGATTTTATTGGAAAAAGACTCAGAACCTTGTGTCTGATTTTCTCTAGATTTCATCCCATGTCCCTCTTCACTGATTTTGTTTTTTATCCTTTTGCTGCAAAAATCATTTCCATGAGCACAACTATGCTGAATCCTTTGACTCCTCTTAGAGAGTAATCAAACCTGGTTGTAGTCTTCAGAATCCTCGACATAGTGTAAAATACTAGGCAAAAAAAAATCTCAGGTGTGGGCCTCCCTAGTGGTGCAGTGGTTAAAGTCTCAGTACTATCAAGCTATCGCCAGACACTGTGGCATGAGTTCAATCCCCAACCAGGGAGCTAACCCACATGGCACAGCAGACCTCTCCTCTCCCATCTTGCCTGCTGTTCCCCTCCACTCTGTCTTCACCCCTCCATCCCCTTCACTTCTGGCCTAAACCCCAGTTCTTACATGCATAAATAAAAATAAATCTCTAATAAAAAAAAAATTAGGTGAGATCAGAGATACATACGTGCATGTTAAGAGGGTCTACTAGATGAGCAGCAATACTCATTTCATATTCTGAAAGCTTCACATTTTTCACACCAATCTGCTTCATTAGTTTTTCTGCCTAGAAAGAAATAAACAACCTCCTTTAGTTTGACATTTAGATATTGGCATTTCAATATAAAATTATCTCTGAAATCTAAAGAGCAATGAAGGGGCCTCCCTGGTGGTGCATGGGGTTTGAGTCGCAGCACTTGAAGCTATCCACAGCCAGTGCAACATGACTTTGATCCCTGGCAAGGGAGGGAACCCACATGGTGCAGCAGACCTCTCCTGTCTTGCCCACTGCTCCCCTCAGCAGTGTATTTCAGTCGATCCGCCTGTTCTGCTCCTCAGTGTCTCTGGTGAATCCTTTCACCCCCCCCATACCTTTCGCCTGTACCCCAATTCTTGTATGCATAAATAAATCTTTTTTTAAAAAAATAAAGAGCAGGGGCCTCCCCAGTGGTGCAGTGGTTGAGCGCTGGGTTGCGAAGCTGCCTGCGGCCTCTGCAGCGCCGGTTCAATCCCCGGCTGCTCCCCGGCCACCGGAGGAGGGTCCCACATGGCGCGCACACCTCTCCTGCCGCCCGCTGCTCCCCTCAGCAGTGTACTTCGGTCCTTCTGCCTGTTCTGCTCCCTGCTCTGGCTCTGGTGAATGCTCTCACCCTCCCGCGCTTCTGACTGTACCCAGTGCATGTATAAACAAATAAACAAACAAACAAATAAATAAATAAATAAATAAAACATGCCTCTATTAAAAAAAAAAATTTTTTTTAAAAATTAAAAAAAAAAAAAATAAAGAGCAATGAAATGATATACAAGACAAGAATTTTCCAAGGATACACTAGTCCCCTTAATCTTACCCTTCTCATTGTACACACTTAGGTAAAGAAAAGATTTGAGGTTCTACTCCACAAAACCTAAAACTAGCTCTGGGGAAATGAGAAAATAGGGTAAAGACTGAAGATTATACACACAGCACCTCACATTTTTCCAATGAGACTTTAGGATCCAACTTGATTTTTCTTTCATAGTACGATTATTTAACATGAGAGGTACAGGTGACCCTTATGATGAAAGACTAAGGAGTTAAAGATATTAAGAAATGGACAACTGGAGTTCCTTTCCTTCAATAAATAGTAATCTAAATCAGGTATCCAACTTCCTTCAAATCACCCAGGTAACTACAACAGGTGTCCATACCTATTTAATTTCAAATTTTTTTCTGAGATGCCATCCCTTTGAAAGTCAACTCCTAGGGCCAGACAGCCAGAGATAATAATTGTGAACTAGAAGTATATCTACACGTACTTTTAGAGCTAGGCAAAACTAGCCTGAAACCTCTGAGACTGAAATCTATTTGACCAAAACTTTCCATTAAAATAAAAAGTATTATATTGATTTATTCAGTAGGCCCGAGTATCATTCCAAAAATACTTTAAATGGATCATCTCACTAAATCTTAGTGATACTGAAGTAGGTACAATTTCCAAACCCACCCCCATTATGAAAAAAGAAACTGGAGCTTAGCATGATTAAATAATTTGCATTAGATTAAAAGCTAGCAAATGGAATAAACAAGAGAATTTAGGCAAACTAACTCTATAGCTCATACTCTAACCACTACCAGATTTACTTCAGTTTCCCTAATTGTAAGATAAGTGTTGATGACCAAGAAAATCTCTTAAAAATCTATAAAATGACATATTCAAATTCAATTAAGTAACTATTTTTAGGAATGAATAAATCTTATTTACCGAAATTTCATTGTTTTCTTAATATGCTTTTGATTCTATATGACGCTATTGTCTGTCACGGATGTCTCTGCTCTAAAATCACATCATGCAGCACTATAGTTAGGGGATTAGGATAAACGTACATTATATCTAGTAAAAAAGCTTTTTGTAAAAAGGTGCTTTGAATCACTTCGTTTTTCCTATGTAGCCATTTCCCTGTAAATTCCTGACTCAATGGATCTACCTTTTCTAGCCTTTTTATCATTCTGGCAAAATCTCCTCTTTCACTGCTTTTAAATCTTTCATGTCAGCTCCATTTTATTATATATTAGTAATATCAATGTACTCCTTTTCAATATACGTCTGTAAATGTGAAGCTATTCCGTGTATCTTCTTTTTAGGCCATACTCTAAAACAAAAGTTCTCATCAGAAAAGGAAGAAAAAAATTAATGTTTATTAAGCACCTACTATGATATGCTCAGCATTTTATAATCAACCCTTAAAACCACCCTGAAAAGGAGATACTACTATCATTTTTTCAGGTGAGGAACTCAAAGGTCAGAGAAATTAAGAGTTACCAAGATTACCCAGGTAGGAACTGGCACTGCCAGAGCTGAAACTGATGTCCCTAATTTCAAAACCCATGTTCTGCTAAAATACTATTCCTCATTTGGCAGAACAAATAAATGAAAAGAAAGCACCAAAAAAACAAACCAAAAAAAAAAAAAAAAAACAAAAAAAACCCCACTATCCCAACATCAATAGTATTCTAGGAATACGTTATCTAGTTGTTTAGCTTTGACATCTTTGAGGCCCTACTTCTAACATGTTTTAACTAGAAAAGCAAAATTATGATTGGACTCTTCTAAAAATGGCTTATGTTCACACAATGCTTTATTGTTTGTAACTTACCGACAATTATATTTTCTAGTTATCAATGTTTACTTGGTTTACAAAGTAATAAGTCTCTTCAAGTACAGATTGTCTCGGCCAAAGGAAATGGCAGGCTGGGGGTGAAGAAAGTCAGGGGTAGGAGGGAAATTCACTCTTTACCATATACCCATCTTTTTTCCTCCATGTGAGTTATTAAAAAAAAAAAAAAAAACAAAAAGCCAACATAAAGTAGAGTAGAAAACAGTGAAACAAGCATTTTTGCCTGAAATGGGAAAGGTGTAAATGGAGAAGAACAGAAAAGAAACACTCATTTCAATCAAATTCTAAAACATTAATAAGGGAATGAAAAGCAGGGATGAACTAATTAAACTTGGATCAAAAAACTTTACTGAACTACATAGCTGCAGTACTCCCTAAATTTAGGTGTAGATAAGAGGAAATCATTATAAAGCTTTTAAAAATGCAATTAAATGGGAATAATAAAGAATTTGAGCAATCACCTCTATATATTAGGTACAAGCCTTTATAACAAACTTACATTAAAACACCATTTTGTGGTCAACAGGTATATGAAAAAACGTTCAACATCACTTGTAATCAGGAAAATGCAAGTCAAAACTACAATGAGATACCATCTTACACCAGTGAGAATGGCACATATTAAAAAAACGAGCAAGGGGCCTCCCCTGGTGGCGCAGTGGTTGAGCACTGGGCTGCGAGGCTGCCCGCAGCCTCTGTAGGGCCGGTTCATTCCCCGGCTGCCAGCAAGGGTCCCACCAAAAAAAAAAAAAAAAAACTAAACAAAATGTTGGCAAGGATGTGGAGAAAAAGGAATTCTCCTGCACTGCTGGTGGGAGTGCAAAATGGTCCAACAACTATGGAGAGTTGTGTGGAGATTCCTCAACCTACTAAAGATAGAGCTTCCCTATGATCCATAGATTCCACTCCTAGTTATTTACCCAAAGGACACAGAAACATTAATTCAGAGGGATACCTGCACACCTATGCTTATAGCAGCACTATTTACAATAGCTAAGCTATGGAAACAACCCAAAGGTCCAAAAATAGATGACTGGATCAAGAAGATATGGTATATATATACAATGGAATATTACTCAGCAATCAAAAGATTTTTTTTTTTATTTCAGCAACATGGATGGAGCTGGAAGGGATCATGCTCAGTGAAGTAAGCCAGAAAGAAAAAGAAAAAGAAAGTACTGGATGGTCTCACTCATAGCAGAAATTTAGAAAACCTAAATAAGGGACCAGGAAAAAACCTAATTATAATAAAGAAAAAATAAAAATCGACTATAAACCAGAGACACACTATGGGGGGAGGGGCGATGTGAAGGGATCAGGGTCAAAATAAACGGGGTGGGAATTGTATGGGGAGTATAACCAAAATGAAAATGCATACATTGTGCAAAAATGAAAAATGATGTAAGAATTATATAAAATTTTAAAAAAAACAAAGAATGAAATACTTGGCAACATGTATAATGCTATTTTGGAAATACAAGTTAAGATGGATGTAATAAAATACCGAAAATTTGGTCCAAGTCAAAAAAAAAAAAAAAAAAAAAAAAAAAAAAAACAAACCAACAACAACAAAACACCATTTTGTAGACATTCTCAGCCAACTTCTCTTCTAGGATTAATGCACTTACACTTTCCTCCAATTTTAATGTATGTATTCTGAAAATTATTGCATAAGATGGTATTATACTGTAGTGTTGTCCTACTATGCTAGGCATAAAAAACTGCACTGAGTTTGTTCTCTTGGATTTCCTCATCACTGCTATCTATTCTCTTGGGCACTCAAGCAACACTAACCACTTATTCCTTACTGACTTTCTTTCTGCCTTTTCTTATTTACTTCAACTTCTCAGTTTTCTAAGAATCATGTACAGCAAACCAATTTTAAAAACACCTGACTGGGGCCTCCCCAGTGGTGCAGCAGGTTGAGCGCAGAGCTGTGAAGCTGTCCACAGCCTCTGCAGCGCGGGTTTGATTCCTGACCGGCCAGGGAGATACCCACATGGTGCCGTAGACCTCTCCTGCCTCGCCCGCAGCTACTCTCAACAATTTTTTGGTCCGTCTGCCTGTTCTGCTCCCCACTCTGTCTCTGGTGAATCCTCTCACCCTCCCGTGCCTATGGCCTGTACCCCAGTTCTTATATATAAATCTTTAAAAAACTCACCTGACTAGCAGTGCAGTTTCTAACAGCTTCCTGGTATATATCATTTATTACTTCTTTCAAAATAACTTAAGTTTTAAAAACTACAATATAATGAAATGTCCAAAAATAGGAAGACATTAAGTTAAATAACTTAGGTCAGAGTATATGACCTTCATATGTATGGGAAATTCATTTTTTTTTTAAAGATATACTTATTTATGGTTACGAGAGCTGGGGAACAGGCCAGAGGTGCGGGGGGGTGAGAGGATTCACCAGAGACAGAGTGGGGAACAGAACAGGCAGATCAACCTAAGGGGAGCAGCGGGCGAGTCAGGAGAGGTCTGCTGCGCCATGTGGGTTGCTCCCTGGCTGGCCAGGAATCGAACTCCTACTGCAGTGGCTGTGGATAGCTTCATAGGTTGCATCTTAACCCTTGTGCCGCCAGGGAGGCCCCTATATGGGAATTCTTAGAGAATTCTTTCCTGGCCTTTGAAACTACAACTCAGGGATAAGATACAGTCTAATATTCTACACAAATTATTTATATATGCCCAGAACATATCAAGCATTAAGTTATTCATCCTGTTCTTGAAAACTCTTGAGTATAAGTAGATTACCTATTTTTCTACAATCCAAATAACCTATATACCAATCAAAACTCTTATTAAATCTAAATATGTTCCAAGCAGTAGCAGCAACATGCGTCCAGAGAATCCTTCTCTGCAGTACAACACCCTGCTCAAACCATCTTTTCTCATTACTCATGAACACATATCTCACAAAGCTGGAAATTTTGCTATCTTCAAGCTAGAAATAATTTACGAAGATCCTGTTTAATCCAAACATGATACTACTTCTAGATTACTACTCTTGATTTGAATGTACCTATATTATCCATTACCTTTCACATCAGAACTGCACTGACTTTAAACTCAAGGATTATCTGGTTACCTCAGAAAGTTGTCAGTGTTCTTATATTCAGTGTTCTTCCTTTACGGCGACAAAAGTCATACCTTCCTTCTCTCCCACATTCATATCTAGTCATTGCCCTCAAATCACTTAAATGCCTTAATTCTTTCCTATATTCCAACCAGATTATCTCATTATTTTAACAGTGTCTTCGGTAAGAACCTTAGAAATATTTAAAATTCTTGTCATGGCAGTTAACTCAATCCTCACTATTGTTTCAGAGCCACCAATGACTTTCTTTGCTACCAAGTTGCTGAGAAATGCTTGAGAAGTTAATTAAAACAAAACTGAGTTTCCAATAAATTAAAGCTTTCTTCAACTACACCCTAATGTTCCATACTGTGCAATAATTTACCTTATTCAACATTGATCACATATTTACTTCAGCAGGTCTCAAACTTCTTCCATTTCCAATTCACAGCTAGTTATAACCTCTCCCATTCATTGAAAATAAAACATTTAGCTCTATTTAAAATATTCTCAAAAAAATAAATAAAATATTCTCTAGGGTATTCCTGGTGGCACAGGGGTTTAAGTCACTGGGGCATGAGCTCCAGCCCCAGCCAGGGAGCTACCCACATGGGGCAGCAGACCTCTCCTGACTCACCCACTGCTCCCCTCAGCAGTGTATTTCAGTAGCCCCACCTGTTCTGCTCCCCACTCTGTCTCTGGTGAATCCTCTCACACCCTACACCTCTGACCTACACCCCAGTTCTTGTATGCATAAATAAATAAAATAAATCTTTAAAAAAAAAAAATCGGGTTAAATGAGACAACTGTCCAGTGAAGACAGAATTGCACTTTTAGTGGTAAACAATATAGCGCATATACCTGTTGACTTTCAAGAATGAACATGTGAAACACATAATTCAATGTTACTCAATAAGCCACCATTACTGAAAATACATTTTGTTTTTCATTTTTTCCCCCTAAAGATGTATTTATTTATGCATATAAGAACTGGGGTACAGGCCAGAGGTGCGGAAGTGATTCACCAGAGACGGTGGGAAGCAGAACAGGTCGACTGGGGCCTCCCTGGTGGTACAAGGGGTTAAGATGCAACCTATGATGCCGTTGGCAGCCGTTGCAGCATGAGTTCGATCCCCCGGCCAGGGAGCTGCCCACATGGCGCTGCAGACCTCTCCTGACTCGCCCATTGCTCCCCCTAGCAGTGTATTTCGGTCACTCTGCAAGAACAGGCAGACTGACGGAAATACACTGCTGAGGGGAGCAGCAGGAGAGTCAGGAGAGGTCTGCTGCGCCATGTGCGCAGCTCCCTGGCTGGGGATCAAACTTGTGCTGCAGTGGCTGTAGACAGCCTCGCAGATTGCGTCCCAAACCCTTGCATCACCAGAGGGACCCTGAAAATACATTTTGTTGAAAAATTTTACATAGAATCCTTCATTTATAAGCTGAAAAAAACAAAAAACCTACTACTCCAATATCCCAAAATACTTTATATTTTTATTCATTGCTTTTCCTTCTTATAAATTGCTTATATAGTCAAAAAGGATTTGAAAATCAATATTTTTAAGGAATAACGTGGGTCTTATAGAACATTCTATTATTTTATAATTCTACTATATCCCTTGTTTTTATGGAAAAATATTTGCTAGCTCCAAGTAAAATGATCCTCAAACATTTTAATCATACCTGTTTCTGAGCTTCTACTTTTTGTTTTCGGGTTGGATCAATTGCATCTACCATCCATTTGATTGTGAAGTATGTTACTGCACCAAATATTGTCAAACGGAAAATTAAACCAACAACTTCATTCCGACTCAAGGGACGAGAAAAGGCCTCAGCATGTACCATGTTGATTGTAACCTTAAAAGCAAACAGAAATGTCATTCATTAAAATTGGGAGACTTGTAAGTAGACTAAGCAAGAATAAATAACTTTTAGTCAAATTCGACATTACCCACCTTAAAAAATGTCTTACTATAAGGAAAAAATTTTTAAAGTAAATTAACACATTTTCAGCTCCCTTTGCAAACTGAAAGAACAGATCAGAAGTTGAGATTTATAAACTGCAATTATTCTAAAAGATCATATAATTTAAGAAGGGTAATTATTTGGGAAAAAAAACATGTTGTAGTATTTACTCTTTTAAACAGCCTGTACATAACTATTTCAGAGTCTGGAAAAATGCTATAACACTAATTCAGCTGTTGAAAGGTGGCCCAACAATAAAATATTTTACTAATGCAATAAGAATTTCTCCTATTAGATGAAATGTATAGCAGGAAATTTTTGACTGAAGTTCAAATTGTGAACACGTCTTCATACTTTTCACCAAAATGAATTTGCTTATTTTTTACATAAAAGAACTGGGGTGTAGCCAGAGGTGCAAGGGGGTTAGAGGATTCACTAGAGACAGAAGGCCTGCACTTCCCTGTCAAAGGTAATGACTATCCATTCAGAATAAACTTGTTAGGAATGACATGGCTATAACTCTGGGAGATAAAAATCTCAACTTCAAGGGGCTTCCCAGGTGGAGTAGAGGTTAAGACTCAGCATTATCACACTATTGACAGCCAGGGAGCTAACCCACAAGGCACTGCAGACCTCTCCTGTCTCACCAGCAGCTCCCCTCAGCAGTGTGTTTCAGTAGATCTATCTGTTCTGCTCCCCACTCTGTCTCTGGTGAATCACCTCCTGTACCTCTGGCCCCCACCCCAGTTCTTCTATGCATAAATAAGTAAATCTTAAAAAAAAAAATCTCAACTAGGCCTCCCTGGTGGCAAAGGCAATTGAGCGCCGCACTGTGAAGCTGTCCACAGCCTCTGCGGCGCGGGATCGATCCTGGCTGGCCAGTGAGAATCCCCCAGGACGAAGCAGACCTCTCCTGTCTCATCCGCTGCTCCCCTCAGCAGTGTATTTCGTCAGTCTGCCTGTTCTGTTCCCTGCTGTCTCCGGTGAATCCTCTCACCCTCCTGCGCAACTGGCCTGTACCCCGGTTCTTGTATAAAAATAAATAAATCTTTAAAAAAAAAATCTCAACTTCAAATAACACCATTAATACTCTCACAGCACAGAACTCTGCTGAGTGCTGTCAAATACAAGAGAGAAAATATGTATCCTCTGCACTCATGTGAAAACACATAAATCAGAATGTATACAGATGGCTCCACACCAAATAAAAATTAGGTACTGCATAGAGTAATACTGAAGGTCCTTCTAGATCTACAATTGCTTCTCTTCTTGCAACTACCATTATTCAAAGACCTCTTCACTTCCCTTCTTCGTATCTATCAATTTCATTTCTCTTAGGTATCTCCCTTCCACTCAAGAATATATTCTTCCTAATAAAGACTCCAAAGCTTTCCAGTTACTTTCAGTATTCCCAATATTCAAGACTGTCCTAATGCAGCCATAATGAGTAAATTTTAGGAATTTAATTTCTCTCCATTTTCCAAAAGAAACTCTCAGTAGCTGGAGCCAGTGATATTTCTATCCCATTCATTTAGGACCAAATTCTATTCAGACTTCACAAATTAACTACACCTGCTCTGTGAAAGCTTTCAGCGCATTTAACACACTATATTATTCATTTAGCCCTATTATTGAACTTGGGTGGTTATCTATTCTACTCACAGTTTAAACCTTTATACATAAGACTGGTATCTTGTCCATCTTAATAAATGTCACATATAAAACAGAGGCTATTCAGTAATTATCTGTCCAACACATAAACTGTAACTTCACAAAATCCTCCCATCAGTCATTTCATAATTGTTCATTGTTAGGAGCCATTTATTTCACAAGAGTGTACAATGTAATTTATACTTAACTATCATGCCATTTGCAGCAACATGGTTGGAGCTGGAAGGGATCATCCTCAGTGAAATAAGTCAGAAGGAAAAGGAAAAATATCAGGTGGGTTCACTTTCAGGAGGAATATAGGGGAATCAAAATTAAGGGATCAGGAAAAAAAACTAATAATAATAAAACCTAGCAGACAACCATAAATCAGAGAATTCTCTGAGGGAGGGGGAGGAAAAGGGATCAAGGAAGGGAGAGAGGAGCACAAGGGACTATGGTGATGGTTCACGAGTGAATTGGTGGTGGAAATTTTACAGGGAAATACACATGATGTAAAAATAAAAATAAAAAATAAATTAATAAAATTTATACTTAACTAAATTGATGTTTTGTACTTTGTAAGAGCCTAGGATGTAAAATGATTAATTCATATAATAAAGCACTTATCGAAATGTATGTCTACTACGTAACTGGGTATATGAGAATCACTAAAATACAGTAACCACTCAAGGAATGCATAGTTATACATTTTTTAAATAGAGCTAGGGAGGAGAAACTGTAACAGGGTGGTCCCCAGGAAAGGGGGATGTTCCCTGCCCCACCCAAGGGAGGGTGGAGCTGAGCAGGAAGAGGAGAAGCTGCAGAAGAGACTGAGGAAGGAAGGAAGGAAGCAGGATGGAGCCAGGAGACCTGGAGGAGGCGCATGGAGCCTAGAGACACGTGAAGAAACTGCGCTTGTCTTTTGGTCGTGGACGGGGTGACACAGATGTGGGTGAGACCCGTGGGGAGGTGACAATGGCAGCTTTTATTTTGATGTTGATTTTGCTCTTTTCCTTCCGGCCTTGTCTGGTAGTTTCTGACCCTTTTCTGTGGGTCCCCACTGGAAGATGCTTTAGACTTGTGGCAGGCTTTGGGGCCTTGCTCTGGGCCAATCCCATTTGGATGGAGTTTTACCCACGAGGGGATGGGTAACTTTGGGTGCTTCATTTAGAAACTAGACTCTTTGCCTTACCTGTATTGTTTCCTAGTTTTATTAAAGTTCCTTCCCATTAAAGTCTCCTATGTTTTGTGTTGATGCGGCGGATGGCAGAACCCATGTAGAATAGGCAGGTTTGCGGGGTTTGGGCTGCCCCTCTCCCTGTCCTATAACAAAACCACCTAATTAAAACTCTCATATAACAAATCAAAGTGTGCCTTCTTCCACTAGCATAGATCCCTAAAAATATTATCCTTATAGGAAACAAAAAATTGACTTCCAGGGCTTCCCTGGTGGTGCAAGGGGTTAAGTGTCAACACAATGAAGCTACTAGCAGCCACTGCAGCAAGAGTTCGATACCTGGCCAGGGAGCTCCCCACATGGCGCAGCAGACCTCTCCTGTCTAGCCCTCTGCTCCTCTCAGTAGTGTATGCCCATCAGTCTGCCTGTTCTGTTCCCCACTCTGTCTCAGGTGAATCCTCTCACCCCCAGCACCTCTGGCCTGTACCCTGGTTCTTGGTTGCATAGAATAAATAAATCTTAAAAAAAAAAAAAAAAAAGTAAAGTTGACTCTCCTGGTTTTTATTCCAACCAAGAAAATTTAAATATGCCATTGTAATACGTGGGAGCATTACGTGGGAGCATTATTTATAGATGAACATAAATAGACAAAATAAGGATTTTTTGTTTAAAGATTTATTTTTATACAAGAACTGGGGTACAGGCCAGAGGCGCCGGAGGGTGCGAGGATCCACCAGAGACAGAACAGGCAGAACAGGCAGAGGGACTGAAATACACTGCTGAGGGAAGCAGCGAGTGAGACAGGCGAGGTCTGCTCGCCATGTGAGACCCTCGCCGGCCGGCGCTGCAGAGGCTGCGGACAGCCTCACAACGCTGCGCTTAACCTACTGCGCCACCAGGGAGGCCCACAAAATAAGGACTTCAATAACTTAATCTAAGATAGCTACTGATATTCGAGTAAAACGTTGTCATGTATTTCAAGTTTGAGTGAGTAGTGATAAAACTGTCATCTACTGGATGTTCACTGAACTACATTACGACTTAACAAAAACCTCCCATTCAGTCTCACATCTCCATTAGTAGGAACCAACTGTTATCAGTAGGTCCCAGTCATCGAGATAATTTTGAATCCTATAAAAAAAATCAAGAGCTGGGCCTCCCCAGTGGCGCAGCGGTTGAGCACTGGGTTGCGAAGCTGCCCGCGGCCTCTGCTGCGCTGGTTCGTTCCCCGGCTGCTCCCCGGCCACAGGAGGAGGGTCCCACATGGCGCGCAGACCTCTCCTGCCGCCCGCTGCTCCCCTCAGCAGTGTACTTCGGTCCTTCTGCCTGCTCTGCTCCCCGCTCTGGCTCTGGTGAATTCTCTCACCCTCCCGCGCTTCTGACTGTACCCAGTGCTTGTATAAATAAATAAATAAATCTTTAAATAATATATATATATATATATATATATATATATATCTCAAGGGCCTCCCTGGTGGTGCAAGGGGTTAAGAACAGAACTGTGAAGCTACTAGCAGCCACTACAGCGCGAGTTCGATCCCTGCCCAGGGAGCTACCCACACGGTGCAGCAGACCTCTCCTGTCTTGCCTGCTGCTCCCCTCAGCAGTTTATCTCTATATATGTGCCTGTTCTGCTCTCCACTGTCTCTGGTGAATCCTCTCACCCCCTGCACCTCTGGCCTATACCCCAGTTCTTGGTTGCATAAAATAAATAAATCTTTAAATATATGTATATATCAAGACAAGTCCTCTTTTAACTATATATTCTACACACAAGCTTTTTACTGTGATGCAATACTCTCAGTCGTATGGCCACTTTCAAAACAGTAGCCCATCTTTTAAAATGACTTCAAAATTCTGAAATGAAACTGACACTTCTTTTCTAGGTTATAATTATATATACTTTATAGTTCACTTATCATTCACATGACATCGATAGACCTGTCATGTTAAGACTCTTACAGTAACATTATTATATCAAAATAGAAAATAAAACCTGCATGTGCATACAATAGGGAATACATTTCAATCTTACATGAACATGAGGATCAATAAAAATATACAC